AGTTTCAGTGTTCTGAGCCGTGGTCAAAGGAGAGCCTGGGTTGGGGCTATTTGATAAAGAGGCTAGCCTCATAGCCTCTAATAAAGGGATTACATTTTCAATACTGGGCATGGGGAACCTGGATTATGTAAATAGGCCTAATCGGTCCACCTCCTTTCGCTACTGAAGGTAAGGGCTAGATTAGTCGGGAGTACCGTGCCCATAGTTCCCGCAGGCCGTTCAGGACTGGCACTAGGTCAGCCTTTCATCCTCTCAGCACGGCTCTCACACCTTAGGAAGTAGATAGCAGAAAGGGATGGAGAAGAGAAACAAAAGCTGGAGAAAAAAAAGAACATGCAAAATTAGTTGAGTCGAGGACTGAGGCCCTAGGCAGGGGAGGTCCCTGTATTGGGTCTCAGTCTTCATCTCCTAAGCCCCCCCACGACAACAACGGGCAAGGGATTGGGGGGAGGCTGTAAGGTAGTAACAAGTGAAGATGAGGTGACTGGTGAAGAAGGCTGTGGGGGTGGGGGTAGAGCTGTTGAAGTTAAGGTAGTTAGGAGAGTAGGAGTCGACTTGGGTGGATAATGCACTGGTAGGCATCGTGGTGTGGGTATTATGTTTCGAGTCGTGGTAAAAGGCATTCCTGGGGTCGGGATGCCGGGAGAGAATTGGTGGGGCTATTTGTTGAAGGGGGCAAGCCTCTACCTCTAATATGGGTATTACTTCATTATTGGCCATGGGAAGTCTTGGCTATGTTGGGGAAATAAACAGTCCACCCTGAGAGGGATAAACAAAACACGATAATACCGTGCCTATGGTTCCCTCCGGCCGTTCGGGACTGGCACAAGTCAGCCTTTCATCCTTTCACCTTAAGTAGATAGTTGAAGGGGTTAGAGAAGGTATGGAAACGAAAGAGCTCGAAAGAGCTGGGAGAAAAAGACCATGCAAAATTAGTCGAGTCGAGGGCCGAGGCTTAAAGCAGGGAGGGACCTGCATTGGGTCTCAGTCCGTCAACTAAGCCCCCCCAATGACAACGGGCAAGGGATTGGGTGACAAAAAATATGGAAAATTAACAAACTTTCAAGGTCATTTATATATTTATTTTTCTTTACATTTGGTACCCCACAACTCAGGATGTCACATCAGAAATTCCCTATGGTCAAAGTAAAAAATATTGGTATTCTTCCGTCTACTTAAATTTCATGAAAATCTGTAAGACCGTTTTCTATTTCAAAGCAAAAATAGTAAATCTGATATTTTGTTCTTCAGGGACGGTCCCCTTAAAAAGGTTTTGACAAAATACTAAGAGCAAACAATCCTACCATCTTTCCCTTCAAT